TAAAATTCCCTTAACTCCTTTTTATTATCATTGTTATTTTTATCTTGATTTATCCCCCTTGTTAGCATTCAAGCCGTAATTGCGGTCATCCATCAACGCGGACGTTTCGAATTTTATTCCGAGCATGGAAATTTTCCCACCACCCCCGAAAAGCGATTATTCCACTCGAAAAACGCCTGGCCATAATAGCGCGGCACGTCCGACGAGTTAAGGCAAAAGACGTGACTTTCTCCAAAGGTCATCATCTCTCGTCGGTGCGCAAGGCAAGGTTGGTCTCTCTCTCTCTGTATATCCCCTTGCCAGCTGCTTTCTCCCGAGTGTAGTTAATAGAAAGAGAAAGAAAACGAACTCGTACTAATAACGATATATTTTTACTTTCTTCCAATGCCACTGAGCTTTTATCTTTCCCACGTGCTCTTAATGACGAGACATCTGCTGCGCGACAAACGTCGAAACGTTTCAATTTGTCCCCAGGCACTAAGTACAAAGAGAGAGCTTAATCAGGAGCAACAGATGTCCACTTGAGAGTACAGAGAGTAATTGTCTTTGTTTGGAAATTCCAATACGGCTGAAAGTTATAAATTTTCTATTTTTTTTAATGCTTTTTATTTTTTTGTATACACATAAAAATTGACATCTTTATTAGATGATAACTATTTTATTGATTGTATTTTTTTTAAACTTTTTTCAATACATTTTACAATTCTTTGTTTATTATTTTAGTTTTATACTTTTGTTTTATTTTTAAAACTTAAATTTTGAATTTTTTTTCTTTTTTTATGATTTCCAATGCAACTAAATTGTTAATTTTATATACGCTCTTAATAATTATTTATTTAATACAATTTTCTCTATAAATTGTATTTTTTATAATACCGTGTATGATGCTCTTTCGTCTCTCTCCTTCCAATAAATTGTTATTAGTTTTGGTCCTTTTACTGAGAACTTTTATAATGTTCAAGCAAAAACTTCCAATAATTATTGAATGAACCCATGATTTTCTTGCACTTGCTAAAATTAGGTTCATCTGCTGTGATGATTTGAGAACACTGCAGTGGATTGGGTGACGGCCTATATATTGCTGGACCAGATAGAACATAACACCGCGAGCGTGCAGCCAGCAGAGCCTCTAATTATGTGGGCACCTCGCGTCACAGGTCAATCAAAGGTCACTGCGTCGAGGTCAGAGGCCAAACCTACATTTATTGCCAGAGCAGAGCGCAGTGCACCCAATTCGAGTGGCTTCACTCACTCTTGAGAAATGACTAATTCAACTTGAACTTGAGCTGCTCAATGCATTTAGCAACAAGTCGTCCTTAATTGAATCATGAGTAAGAGTGGAACTTTACTAATCCTCGTCAAAGTTATTCATTTTATAATCAAGAAAAAAACCAATAGTCTCAGATTTAATTAATAAAAAAGTAACGTAGTAAAAATCTCACTTTTTCTTAATGGACTTTTAAAACTAATTCTATAAAATTAAAAACAACATATTTGTCTATCTACCGCATCAATTTTCTTCTGATTTTTTTACGATTCTTTCTATATTAGCAAAAAAATTTTTCATTTTCATGTTAAAAAATGCATTTGATACACTTGCAATTTTTACTTATTAATGAGAAACATTTACTTATTGGTGTGAATTTTAAAAATACTGCAGGAAATTCAATTAAAAAGCCAAAAGTATTTCATAAAACCCAAAATTTAACATCAAAATGACACACCATTTTCATAAATCTATATCAACTTATTTTCTAGTAAGTTTTAAAGAAAAATTCCCTAGTATTCGGATGCAATGGAAATTAATTTATAAATTTATAATTTACACAACTCTAATTGTTTCACAGATAAAATTTGGACGTTTATAGCGGTTTAATTCCGGCGCTAATTGTTTCGAGGCCAAAGTAAAAAGGTCAACATCCGTTGAATGTTGTGAAAAAAAACGAGCGCAAATAAAGAAGAAAATCTCATAAGAGTTGGTCTGACTGAGAGCGTGGAAACGCAAAAAGTCTCTCTCGCGCCGCATTCCAGAGCCGCGCATATGTACGGAATAAATTAGCCGGCCGCGTGCAATCAGCGCTCATCCTGTGTGTGCACAAAAACAAAAGCGCGCCGGTGTGCTGGCCAAAGACACACACATTTTCTTAAAATAATCCCAGAGCGCCATCCACTTTAACGTTCGTACGTAGGTTGTCGGTGCGCGCGTGCTTTAATGAGGGAAGAGGACTAGACAGGCTGAGACGACACCACTTAAAAACCATATTGCACACAGGCCAACACTTGCCAAGTTGCATTATTATTATTTTGATGAGAGACAAATCATACTTTTGCGAATTCTAAAATAAGGTTTAAATTTAAAAAATTAATTTTGTTTTCAAAAATTCAACTACAGCGGAATTAATATTGGTTTAAATTATTAATGAAAAATTTGTGCATAATATAAAAAGCAAATAGGGTTGAAATATATGAATCGGACAGTTATCTTTCTTTCTTGGTAAATGAGCCACACATGTGAAAACTTTCCAGCCTAGCTCTTTACCAAAAAGCACACCATTCAATAATTTTTTAGGGATCTTTAATCTATTTAACCATGATATTAGAAATATTTAACTCTATTTTTTGTTAATTTTTTTAATTCTCTAGTAAATAGTGAATCCTGAAAGTAACAATTAAGGTTAAAAAATAAAATTTTATCAAATTATTTTAAATTTTTTTATCGAGTTTCACATCTCTGAGTTAGGATTTAGTTTAATCACTACTACATTAGAATAATTTGTAAATATCAACAAAAATAAAGTATCTTGAAAAAGTATAATTCCCTAACACAAAGGAATTCTGTGTTCTATCGGTAACTTCACTAAATATAATTCTATTCTCCATTTTTGGCCTTTGCTCGAATGTTAACATTAATTTCCATTCATTTTTTGCAGCTACGAAATTCAGTGGAGGCGTCAAATTATACATTTTTTTTCCAGCAAGGAGAAAAAAATTTTACAGCATAGTGACGTTCGGAGAGACATTAAAACGATTTGAAACGCTGGAAAACGACAGAGGCACGGATTATCCGATTTGAGGCTGACTGCGTAGCATTGAGAATCCGCCGGCGTGAACAGTGCATGGATTTGATGGAGGCGACGAGCGATATGCCGTTATGAAAGCGGCTAAACTGTGAATAACAAAGCCCGGCATAACGGAGTCTAAGCCTCGCTCAGCCAGACAGACAGAAGAGGCTCGTTCGGATATTCGCCTATCGTTTAATTGCACTCACGCACTGCACAAATATAAAATGCGATTATGCCGCATGCAAGTCTCAGTATTGACGTTTGCTGAAAATTTAGCGTACGAAATCATTCATTTTTGTGCAGTAATCAATGGTTTTGTAATTATTTTTCAAATACTTTTTAAATAAATGTAACATAGAAATAAAAAATAATAAAATTTAACTTTGTTAAAAACTTTATTATTTTTAAATTAAATTTTTAATAATTATTGTGAAAAATAAAAATTATAATAGTTTATAAGTATGTACATTTTTTATTTCTTTAAATAATTAGTCATTAATTTTTTAATGAACACTCAACATTTTTTAATTTAAAAAAAAAAAACAGAAAATTAGATAACACTAATTATTTTCTTGTAATTCTCTATAATGTGGAATGAGTAAAATGAATAGTACCTAAATTAATGAATAAATTTAAATTATCTAACAAAATCATGAATTCATAATAATAAATAATTAAACTTACAGCTTGACAGGTGCGCCTCTAATTAATCCCCAAATATCATACATTTGCCATTTTCACCTTCGGTTCAAATGATGTGCAAACTTAATACAAAGCAGTCCAAGAATAAATCGCCTGACTCTCGCCGCGGCTCAAGTTAATCGATTTAATTTAAATAAGAATCGTGGTTGCTATAGTGAAGTGAATTATGCAACATTGACCACGCGCATGCCTAGCCCCTTAGCTAACACACGTACCGGCTGAATAATGCATAGGAAATTCCAAAATGGATGCAATAACAAAATAATACAACTGTAAAACAAGTGCGTATATAAAAATTTTGCGTGTCACAACGTTCAAAAAATTTAAATAAAAAAATTAAACGCAAAAAGAATTGTGGTTTTTTTACGTAACGTGTCGCATAAGGAGACACCACGTCTTTTCTCTCAAGTCAATAAAACTCAATCAGCTGGCAAATTGACATTACTTGCATATTGCGTAGTTAGGAAGTGCAAGAGTCAGATAGCAAAATTGTAAAAAAAGCAAAGTATGTTTAATTTGGCTCAAACTTTCATGGCATCAATTTAATTATAAACAAAGTATCGGTTGTGGAAATGGCTTTCTAGAAGAGTCTATAAATTTTGCACAACCAATCCACAGATCCATCTGATGGGAACCCGCAGGAATTCCAATCTCTCCTCATCGTGCAAACGGAAATCTATTTCGAGAGAGCCATATCGACTTTTCTCCACGCCAAAGCCAGTGACACGAAAATCGCAATTTCGTTTTGACCAGATATTTTACGATTTCGCCGCAAATGTTGAAAAGAAATAAAAGAGAACAGGAAAAGAGAAGGCGTGTGTCTGATATTCCACCTGCGAGCGAGTCACTTATCAGTACCATTAAGTGCATCACCCCTTGACGACCTGTGTGAAGGTGAAGGGCGATTCTCCGAACAAATAGAAATGAAAGAAAAAGAGATATAGAAAGCCGACCGACAAAAAAGGGGTCAAAAAAGTTTTGTGAAATTTTTTGTGGAATTTTTTTATCGTTTTCATTGTTAATTCATATAAAAAATCCATTTCAAAAATAGGATTATTAAAGCAGTAAAATTTTAATTATTTTTCAAAATTTTTAATTTTGATAATTAAAAAAAAAATTATAAACAAAAGGACGAGCCCATTTTTTTCACTTTGTGATTAGTGAAAGTTTGGCGGATGGTGTGCGGTAATCGTTGGAGCGCGAAGGGTCAAAGTTGGGTCGAGGGCCAGGACTCACCGTCAGGATTGTCGAAGTATCCCCAGAGCGGCAGTCCGACGGCGATAGCGGCCACAGTGAAGCAAATAAAGCCCAGCGTGGCTACTATGGTCGTGTAGACCGACTTATCCATCACATCTTAAGGCTCACGTAGGCTAGCACTAACTAACTGACTGGCCACCTTCGGAGCGCCAACACCGACGGCGGCAGCGGCGGCGGAGGAGGAGGGAGGGAGGGCGCTGTAAAAAATTCAGATACAAATAATAATGCGGCGGCCGCTCTTTTTTAACGTGCAACTCTTTTCCCCGCCGCCAACACTCGGATGACTTTTGACTCCCCTCCCTCCCTCCCTCCGGCTGCCATACCTGGCTGCCCGCGCTAGCCTCGCACCGCAGACCGGCTCAGGTATGCCCCCTCCCGACGGCCTGCCTGACAACAGGTGCGCAAAGCGCTCTCCGCAGGTACGGACAGCGTTCAAACCTAAACTCATCCGCGAATGTCTCGACTCTCATCATCTAGTTTTGGAATTAATTATTCTTATTAAAATATTAAAAAAAAAAATCCAGAAATTTTCTCGTATGATAATAGAAAAATGCACTATTTTCATACAAATTGTCAATAATATTTTACTACCCATGAATTCTTACCAAAAATTTTTTTTTTAAAATAATTCAATTTGAATGGGTAATACATGAATAAATAAATAATTTTAAATTGAAAAAATAATGTTAAAGTAGGAGAAAATGATTGATAAATGATAGCTATGTTGATAATCAATAATAATTTCCGTGCTTGTTGTTAAATATACGTATTTAACAATAACACAAAACATTTAATATTAAAAATTTAATAACATTTATATAATATTAAATATTTTTTAAAGTTATTGTTTTTATTTGTTATTTATGTAAAAAATAATTATTTAGTTTATTACTTATATCTTATTAAAAATTTACTTTGTTTTAATATTTTATTTTGATTTAAAGTGCTTTAAATATGCACCATACTTGTTTTAAAATTTTTAAAATTTATTCATTTGATTCATATATTTGCCAATGTTTGGCTTAGAGCCTAAAATTTGATCGATTTTAAAATTAGTTCTATTTCCATGTGATAGGTTAAATTTTTTATTGATGTACTTATTTAATGTATATTTTGTAGCTGTAAGATATGTAAAATCATTAAAAAAAGACATATTTGCACTAATTGCAGGACCATTAGTAAAAATTGTGAAAATATTGATCAGTTGGCGTTCCAGTCCGTACTCTGAGCTATTATGTAAGTCTTTTGTACCATTTGAGTCTAGCGCACCCCCTAGAGCTGGCGAACGCTTTCTGATCGATTGAGGCGGCAAAACAAATAGAGCGAGCGACAATAAAAGCATCATAAGTTTTGGATCGCAGTGCAAACACACCGAAATAATTTTGCACAAAGGTGGCATCAAACGCTGACGGGCCCTTTACCTTTGTCAAGGTTGAGGTGTTTGCTCATCAGCGACGGCAGCCACTTACTATTTGTCACGTCAGACGTGTGACGAGATCATTAAACTTGGGAGCGGAATTGCGAATTCGCGACTCCTTCGACTGTAAAATTGGAGCGTGATCGGATAATGGATGGGATGAGGAGAAAAAACTTCAAATGATTCCTTCAATTTTATTCAGCTGTTAAGTCTCAAAAAAATTAAAACATTTGAAATACAAATTATGCATTTAGTTTTAAATAAAATCTTTTAAATGCAAAAATGCAATATTTTTAATGCAACATGCATCAGTGTTTATTTATGAATCATAATTTGTAAAAAAAATTAATTGTTATTGATTATTTATAAATTAAAATTAATTAACAAGCTGCATTTGAAGAGAATGCAGTTTAGCAGTGCAATTACCTGCAGCTGTAGTTATCAATTAATTTAAATTCTCAGTTCAATTAGCATATGTATGCAGTTAATGCCGCTCTTCCTTTAGTTAAAAGGGCCCGCTCTGATTTGTAAGCCATCATTTGTGCAACGTGCAGCACTGACAGCTGAAATAATGTGCGCCTCCGCTTATGTCGTGCGGTTTCTCATTAATGTAAATTGAGTGGCCGGCTCTCGATCACGCAATTTGAAAACGAAGCCACTTAATTTGAGCGGCGAGCGCTTTATTGAGTTTCGCCGACATCAGATTATTGCTGCCTCCTACTGTAGGTGCGCCCGTTATTGTTTCCATTGAAATAAAAGCGGACCCGTGCAGCTCGTACACCGCACGCCTCCTTTTGTGAATTTTCCCAATCACGCCGGTATCAAAGACTAAAGAAACCAACCTAATTTATAATTAAAATGAAAATTAATTCATTAATGTTAATATTATTAAACTATGGCGTTGAAATATAAAACAGAAGAGAACGGGATTTACTTTGTTTTTTCAATTTTTTAGCACCTTTCTAAAATAAGATATTAATGACCTTCAGGATGTGCCTACCATCGCAACTCAACTTAAGGGTATTCAAATTAGTTGGGTTGCCGTCGCTTCGAGCATCTTCAAGATTAATGCACGCTTGCAGTTACCATTTTGAATAGCCCTTTTAAGCACATTTAAAGTTTTTTTAGGAAGACAATCTTATACGTGGCGCAGTCGAATCAGCATACGGACTCGGCAAGTTGTGTTCTTCGATTACAGAAAAGAATTTGCAATATTGCATGTTTATTTATTGAGAAGATATGGACATTTCTAATTAATATTAATTTCTCAAATTGCTCACCTCCCGCACGATACAGTACAGCATCATTTTTCAAGGCAAAAATGAAAAAGAAGACTGATTTCTGTCAAATATGGCTTCTTTTTGCCAGTTTTTGCATTTGCGTTCTCTCTCAAGATGATGGACCCATAATTTATCCAATGGAGCTAGAAACCGTAAGTATGCATTTAGTCCATAAAATCGTTCATACTGTTTTATCAAAAATCCTATAATATTTTTACATTGCTCAATTATTAAACAAAATAAAAATTAATATTAAACGCTTTAAAAAAAATCAATAAACAAATCATTATAACTCACTTTTCCCACATGGACAATTGATACATATTTTTAAATTTAAAAAAAAAAAACAAAAAAAAAATGACTAGACTTTGTATGATTCCGGCAAATTATAAATATACACAAAATTATGTATTGGCTGCTTTACTCTCTTTTGCTTTTCTAGCGCATTGAGCAGACAAGGAAGTTAACAAACTGCTTGAATAACCACGAGAAGACTGTTCGACCTGCCCCTGGTAAGAATTTAAATATTTAAAAAGTTATTTGTTTCCTCACTGTCAATTCAAATATAAGTTTTCAGAGTTAAAACGTATAATGAAGAGAATCTCAGCTTCAAAGACTGCGGGCGGTGGAGTGCAAGTGCAAATGAAACTGGTCCGTGGCATGGGCTGGCCAACAATGGAAAAGATGGCAACACTTGTTCTTTATTTCTTGTGTCAGATAGAACGTTCATCTCGTTTGGTTAATAAAAACAGTTCAATATTAGTGTAATAATTAATTATTTTTTATCAAAGAGTGCCCGTTACTCAAAGGATTCAACAATAGAAATGAAATTACGGGTGTTTCAATTTACGGCGGAGAAAGATGTTTTGAGCGCGACAATTGCAGATTCAATCACCGTTTAATTACTCAAAAGGTGAAATAAATTATTATTTTTTTTTATTATTCTTTCAAATAATTTCAAATGATAATTACTGCTGTCTGCTGATTAATGCAAAAATGCAGCCTGCCATTCTTGCAGATAGCGGGGCTTGTGGTTGTGGTATTTACAAAATGCATAATTTTTTACTGTGATTTCTAATTTTTATTTTTAATAAATTGACGTTGGGCTTACTTGCAGATCCGCAAAGTGTCAGATATATACATAGGACACAAGACATTATTCGGAGACACTATACACGTTTGGGAAGTTGATGAAAGGATTCAATTTTCCGACAGTTTGAAGCCTATTTGCTTGTGGAACCGCAACGAAAAAAATGATGATAATAATAAGATTGAAAAATATTACGGTCTAGCTTTTGGAGTCAGTATTTTTTTTTTTTTACTTTTTTTAGTATATCAGAATTGCAACAACTATATTAAAAAGTTTCTTTATAATAGTTTTCCTTTCTTCAATGACGTGTGGTATATTCAGCTAAATTTTCTTACTCAAGGTGGCCAGTAAAGAAAATCTTACCCTTTTACTGTCCTGCTTAATGATGAGATTATTGAATTTTTTTACAAAGGAATATGAACGACTGTGATGAGGTTCAATGGTTAGTGCTCTGGTGGTTGTTGGTTTTATCCAGGGTATATAAAAGCTTTGTTTCTGGCCAGTTGGTCCACATACAAGTGGAGGTGGTTCAGTTTAAAGGACTCAGCCGCTCATCCTATTCCCAATCCTTGGCATGCCCAGCAATAAAATGCACACGTGTTGAGATTTACTACAAAGAGGAATTGTGAGAAGAAAATCTAATAAAATAAAAATTGTTTTTACGTGCAGACAGGCCACAGCATAGACGTAAATATTAATCCAGAGGAAAACTGTTATTTAGGCACAGTGACAAAAGGAGAGTGTGACCTTTATGGAAATTCACTCTGCACCAAAGGACTTAGTGAGTCATGAAATATTGTCATTTGTTTGTTCAAAATCCATGATTTATATAAATTTACATTTAATTAATGGCTTATGTTTCTCATGTAACAGATTCTGGATTTTACTTGGTGATAAATCGAGATGATCGTTTTTATTTAAGGGGAATGTTGTACAACTGGACGAGTAATAAAGAGTTTAAACAGTGGGTCGATTTGCTTCCCTTTACGAGCCAGATAGTGTCAGCGTCCGCAGGGCTAGCGATGCTGCCACATATTCCTGCGCCGAAGGAAAAAGTTGGTAGGACTCGCTAAAATTAATTAAATGTAAAATTATGAATCCATTAAACTGCTTTAAATTTCTAGATTTTGGTGAGAATCAGAGTTTCCCTGGCTGTGGCCGAGTGGCACGTCGGGGTTTTCGAAGGAAAAGAGATGAAAAGTTTTCAGCCGAAAGTTTCATTTTCAATAGTTACGACGCAATCAAAGGAAGAGCGCCGTGGCACGCGGCGTTAACCCGTTATTCTGACACAGGCCCTCTTGCAATTGATTTCTGTGGAGCCACGCTGGTCTCCAAAAGGGCTATTATCACAGGTGAAAATCTTTTTGGAAAGAATAATTATTCTCTAAAATTTTAATACTCAGCTGCGCATTGTCTATTCGACGAAAACGCGGATTTGATAGAGGCAGCGCGACTTGGAATAACACTGGGCATGCACGATGCGTCCAAAGACGAAGAAGATTCAAGGCAAAGGTTCAGGGTATTGAATGATACTTAAATTATTCAGTTTTAATTTTTTTCAATTAAATAATTAACAAAAAAAATTAGTTATTTAAATGAAATTTTGTGAAAAAAGAAAAATTTTGAACTTTTTAATTTTGTACGTATGCTTTTTAAATCAGTTAAATTTGCAGGCATTAGAACTCCATGTTCATCCTGGTTATAACCATTCAAAAGGTGACTTTCGAGATGACATAGCAGTGATAATTCTTCGCGAGGGCCAGGTCAGGTTCAACAGTTACGTCCGACCAACTTGTTTATGGAACGACGATTACGAGTTGGATAAAATAGCAAACAAAACAGGCAAAGTAAGTCATACCGCAGATATCTTGGAACCTTTTGGCACTCAAGTCGTGAAAATTCTCGTTCTAATAATATTTATTTTGAGAATAAAATGTAAATTGAAACCAGAGTTCAGAGAATAACGAAATTTGTTATAATGCGAGTCTTAAACGGTCTTTGAAAGCTGAAATTTAACTTTCTTAATTTTTTTATGAATGATCTTCAGCTTGCTTCAGCTTTTAAAATTTTGTAAATTAGGAATAACATTTAAAATCTAATTGCAGGTAGTAGGTTGGGGCCACACGTCTGATTACCGACAAGCAAATATTTTACAAGAGGCTGTGCTGAAAATCGCGTCTTACGAGGAGTGCTATGAGAGCAAGAGGCTTTTCTTCTCTCGAAATCTTCGACCCACCGAGAACTTCTGCGCTGGTTTTCCACACAATCGTAAGTTTTTTTGCACAAACTGGATTAAATTTTTGGATTAAAACGTTATAGAAAACAATTTAAACAAATTTCTTTACCTGAAAAGGTCTGAATTTCATGACCACGGTAAAAAAAATATATATTTACTTAAATCTTGCTTATAGAAACGAGCGCCTGCAGCGGAGACAGTGGTGGTGGTTTTGTCTTTTTCAATGACACTTTGGAGCTGTTTTTCTTGCGCGGGGTGGTCAGCGCCGGACGTTCGAGAACCGTGGTGACAGATGAAGGCGAATTCGTCAATACCTGCAACCCTAGTTACTACGCACTCTACACTGATGTCACCAATTACATGCAGTGGCTCGTGAACAAAATACCAGATATCAGTCAACCCCAGTCATAGAAGTTTGAATCCGGAAATTTCTTGCATTTGTTATTTTCAATTCCTCGAATTCTTTATGCCAAAAAAAAATGGATTGGGGAATATTTATTTGAATAAATTATTTATACACTTGCTATTATTCTTGTTTATTTCATGACTATTATACTTATATTTTTGGTCAATTTCTTGTTGATTAATAAAATTTAGTCAATTGTCCTGCTTTTATTTATTTTTTTTAATTTTAAAAATTTAGAAACTTTATTTGATTGACTAATTTTCTTTCAAAACTATAAGATTTAAAGGCTAAAAACTTAATCTTTCTCTAATTTGTTGAGTACGGAGCAAATCCACTTGTAAACCCCTCTTTTTAATCAATCTCAGAAAATTCAATAATTATTATTTTGGACTATCGTTCTAATTAAATTTCTACATTTAATAGAAAAATTATGATATTTTCCGTCAATTCATAAAAACATAAAACATCAAAATACCAACTTAAGTTAAACAATGTTTTTGCTAAATATTGGAACTTTTTGCATTCATAATTTATTTCAGCTCATGCATGCAAACGAGTAAATCCGGGTTGGCTAATGTCATACTAGACATATATTTCTATGTTTCTCATTACGTTTTCATCTCTAACAACGGAAATACAGACACAGCTTTATTTGTTTGCTCTTAAGGGTTGCTCGCGTTCTCTAGAGAACTGGAGCTCATATTGAGAGTTGCATTGTTTGGGTTTGTTCAAGTGTTCACTAAAACCACAATGAGAGCACCGTTAGCGCACGCAAAAATACCATGTACTGCAGGTACATACAATATGTACTATAATTATAGTACGATTCACCATCTTCACTCATCTCATTCTGTCCGCGAGCTTTACGAGCGGCTTGATAATGCAGGTGGCAAAACTCTTTGGATTACGCTCAGGTGCTTCTCCTTCCATACTTTCATCTCGATGTAAAATAGAGATCCGAACGTGCTTTTTCTTGATATATCTTGTGATGCTCCAGATCTATTCGCCCTCACATCAGCCGCCGTATTTGCCTTTCTAAGCCGCTAGCAATCCAATATCCTCCTTCGGGAAGCAAATTCGCACCCCTTTCTTACACTTGAATAAGGAAATAAGCATTGAATTGAAGGAGATGGATCGATGTGTCAACCTAAAGAAAAAATATTCAAATTTCTTTGCAAAATACTCCAAAAAATAAATTCCTACAAATTGTATGTGCTAATTTAGAAAATTTCTTTCTAAACGGTATAATATTATATTATTTAAATAAAATCGTACATGGAGAACTCATTTCATTCTTTATTTGAAGGCAATTTTTTTAAGGGGGACTGATTTAAATAATATTTAATATTTGGCACATCGGTTGCTCTAAGGGTGAAGAAAAATATTCATATTTTACACATGTAGGTTATTGAAAATTCATCAAATTTCATATTTACAGGGGCTTCAAGATTAAGAGTAAAAATGTTTTAGTAAATTGAAACAAATTTGGCAAAACTATTTAAATAATTGACACTTGTAATTACTATTTAAATAAATGTAATAATTTGGCTGTATGATTTAAATTATCATGAAAATTACTAAAATAATTTAAATTTTTTATTTAATATACTTTTAAAATAAATATAATGATGTAAATTTAACTATATGCTTAATCTATTAAAATAATATAAATAATTGAACTAAAAATTTTTGAATATTGTTTTAATAATTTGGTAACAATATTAAATAATTAAAAATATAGTGAAAATTATAATCAATACAGAATAATATTTTTTATTTTTTTAATACTTTAGCTAAAATTTATAAATAAGTTACATGATTCTTAGGCAATTATTATTATCATATGTAGCTACGCTTTTTTTTTTAAGAAACTTGATAATCTTTCTTGCATAATTTGCTAAACCGTTTTTAATCTTTTCATCGCATTATTCTCGGCTCTGTGATCTGTAAAACCCCGCTCTTGAATTATGATCATGGCGGTATTATTGAAGTAGAGGAAGCAATTATGCCACCCGCATGGCGAGCGCGGCGTGCTGGTTGCGCACATCCATTTAATTTATGGCGATTTATTTTGGATGTGCTTTGTGTCATTTTTCATTCGCGCAATATCGCGTCATGCTGACATTATCAAAAACGTCCGCGACTATACATGACATGCCCACCCAAATATGGAACAAGTGCCGAGAGATGCTTTCATCCATCATTCTTCGATAGGCTTTTGAGTGATGACTATGAGATTTTTTTGCTCTTAAGTACAATTTTTTCCACTTGTCTTTCCGGTTATCCAGACACCTACTTTGGCACATTCTGCGAAGCGCCAAACTGCAGCGTCTCTACGTCTTTGAAATAAAAGAAGAGAAATGGTTTTGCAGAGCAGTTTAATTACGATTTTAGCAAGATTGTCTTTTTATTGTGCTGCTATCAGGTAATTATGTAAATTATCTTTTTATATTATATTTTTCTAATTTAAAAATTTTTCCGCTCAAATTTTTAAATCCTATTTTAATACTCAAAATCATGAGCTTAAAATTATTCACCAACGAAAAATGGTTGTTTAATAAATCTATACACAGTTAATTTAAAATATGTCATTAAATATTGAAAAATATAATATATTATCTTAATAGTAAGTCAGTTTGAAGTTGCTGAGTAATTTTTTTACTTCAATCTTATCTTTTTTTCTATATTTGCTGCTAACATGAAAAATTAACTTGAACAGGCCTGTCTCCTTGCATTATGTCTAAGATTCATCGCGAAAGAAGGTCAAGATAATCTAGTTCCAGCACATAGAAGCGTATGTGCCTGCTGATTGAGGCGCAATTAAGTACATCTTGTAGTCAGCACGCGGAGCCTCGCTGGTGTGTTTTGCCTGCGCGCATTATGGGCACGCGTATAATTTATTCGCTCTCGAGACGTGGTTGCCATAGCAAAGAAGCCCACCCTGGCTTTCATCATCCCACTGCGTAAGTCGTCAAAGGAAGACAACAACCGCAAATTATAATTCGCACAGAAAAAGAAACACTGAATTTAATTATGACACAGCAGCCGTCGACTTACGTCACCCAGGAAATGTCTCGGAAAAAGGCTCAAGTATACAAAAATAGCCATTTCTCCGTGTTGATGAATGCAGGGTGCCGCAAAAAGGAACCTCATTCAAGCTGTTTATCAACTGCCTTTGAAGTTGCTTTGAAACTTTTCTTCGGAAAAAAATTTGATTAGTTCCACCGAGACGAGAAAGACCGAGAAGTTTTCCGTTCACTTTAGAAACTGGTAAATCGGCGGGAAAAGTTGAAGCACAAAGTTGCAAAACCGATTGCTTTTTTATGATTGGATAAAACTGTAATGGAATCGATTGCCCCTGTGATATATAATAATCTTTCATATTTATCGCATTCAAAAACTTCACTCGAAGCATAATTAAAGTTTCAAAAGAAGTTTTTGTTTTTTTATTAAAGTTTTACAACAACAAAAAGTTAGCTTCGTTTACAAATTTTCACCTACTCTGCAACCAAATCACATAAGCAATCATGTATTTTTAAATCTTCAGTCAACTATTTCAGCCAAATTGCATGGTTGTGTTGATTTTTGAAATTTTTTAAACTAAAAGTGGATATTTCTATTTATTTTCCCCCTAATTTCACTTTTTCTAACGAATAGGCTTCATTTTTAATTTTTTTTTCATGTCCTGATTTTGACTACATTGATATTAAAAAAAAAAACTTTCAATACTCCGATAATTTAAACGATTTAACCCTTCAAGTCGCAAATCGCCTTCCTTTTTATGACAGCAAGCTTTGTTTACTAGCCAGATCGGCGCTGGAGGAAATAAAATGTCCAGGACACACTTCATCCCGACGTGCAGTAATAATAAAAGTTAATAAGACCCAAATAACTAACTGGGTGCCCGATTCCGCTGTACACGTTTGTAACAAATGAAACGAAGCAATGTCTCATAAAGTTAATCTAATAAGAGGCAAAATGCAAGTAATTCGCCGGGCGGAGTCTCGCAGTCTTAATCCCAGTAGCAATTTGTCCCAAGCACTAATTCCAACCCTGACTGCTTCAATTAATTCCAGCAGGTGGGCCTCTCATAATTTGGCTCGAGCGCTCCAAATTCCAGCTGCTTCATCCCTCGCTTGCTCTGCGGGCGAATAATAAAACGGGAAATAAGTGGGTCGTGTGCACAAAAATGTGCTGCACTCGGGGCTATGAAACGCAATATGAGAGCGATGTGAGCTCAAAAGTCAAACAGTAATACCATGCTTGTGTGGACTTGAGGGCATTTCAACTCCGCTCGTGGGACGAGTGTAATTTCTCGTCGGTTCAAAAACGAATAATTCCACCGAATTGCACAACAGACACGGTTCAATGGCATTTGAGTGGGCAAAAAAAAAAATATTCTGGGACTCAATTGGTTCGTTTTGACTTAGGATTCTAGGTTTTTAAGCTCAAATTTAAAAAATGAATGAATTTTTTTAAAAACCAATATTTTTTATTCAATTATGAGCTTTTAGAGAAAAACAAAACACATTTTTCTATGTTTTGATCATCTGTCTTTACTGATTTTTCCATAATAGAAAAATACACTGAAAATAGGTGATGTTCCATTTAAATTAAATGATCTAGATAGAAATGCATCCACTTCGCTTTGAAGTGATGCTGCGGGCAAATAATTGCCTGTGAGGAATCTGCATTGCGAATACTGTTTGCGGATGGAGGATATCAGGATATTCAAGTTGGTTGTGCATGCCTTTGAAATTCCGTAAGTGCCGCTCTCAAAAGAAAACAGAGATGGGAAATGGAGTTTGACGATTGACACGAATATTCTGATTACATAATATATGAAATTACTTCAAAGATCATAAAAAATACGGTCAGCTTTTGCTTGGTCTCGCTAAAAAAATGAGTTTTTGCTAAATAAAAAGAAAAAAAAATATTATGAAATTTTTATAAATGCGGTTGCTGTGCGGCAGTGAGCTGCGTATTTGTAGCTGCTGCCAAAGAGCAATAATTTGCAAAATTTGAATGTGTTCCAACTTTACTAACAATGGCATTTTTGCTTGCAGCAGTGCAGATCTGCGCCGCGAGGGTTGCGGAAGAATTGTGACTGTAGTAAAAAAAAAATAAAAAAAAAATATTATTTAGATTAAACACTATAATATTATTTAATATTTTGCCATTTTAATTCAATGATTGATTTAATAAAAAAAATTAGAGTAATTATGACAATTTTACTGCAATTTACGTGCAACACAGAAACCATGAAAAAAATATTCAAATCAATTTAAAGTGAAAATTTATTAATAAATCAATTTAAAGTGAAAATTTATTAATAAATAAATTTAAAGTGAAAATTTATTAATAAATAAATTTACAAATTATTATGTTTATTCAAAATTTTATTTAAAGTAATAATTTTCTAATTTTTGCAATAAAACATTAAGTGGCCCAATTAAAAAAAGTTATGCAAATCTATTTAAATTTTGCTTTTAAATCATAAAGACGGGAAATAATAACCGTCGCAAAAGTCAGATACTGCCCCTTTTTTTATTATTCTGAGTCGGAAGATGATGGGAATTACGGCCGGCGCTTTATTGCTCGGGAGATAACAAATGAGATAGGAATGAATGGAGAGTGCTGTCCGTGACACCAGCAGCGCACCACATATGTGTATAAGCAGAATTTACACTCCCTTTTCACCGCTTTCGCCCCCGTATCTTTTGTGCTTGTGGGAGATAATTTACTATTGATAAGACAAAAGTTATTGACAGGCCATAAACAAACCCTCGCAAATCAATACCTGACGCCTAATGAAAAAAAAATCTGTTTCAAAATTTGTAAAATTTCCCTTTTAAATCAACCTTTGTAAGTGAAGTAACTAAAGCCTTGATAGGAATAAATTATTCATGACTTTGAGTGGCGGCTGTGTATATTTATTTGCGCTTGGGTCGAGCGTTTTATGCAAAAAGTTGGCGCCACGTTGGCAAAGGTCAGAGTTCGCGGGGAAGAAAACGCTCTTTCTCTTTATATCTCAACTTTTTTTCCATCCAAACGCCCGAAACATCATCATCAACCGAGAGTTTGGAGCGTCCTTCTTGGATAAATGTTTCTCCTGCCCAAAATGCGTGTATGTATCTTGCTGCAGCTTTTACGAGAGCACAGATTTGGCTGGAATGGGTCGAAAAAGAAGAAGATCCGTTGTCGCTTCTGGTTGGTCGATCTGCCGCAAAAGAGGACGGAGTGGAGCGGCTTATTGTAATTTGGTCTTCGGAAAGGATTTCGCTTATAAGCGTTCGGAGAACAAGCCACAGAGGGATGTGAGTCTAGATTAACTTGAACAACGTCGACTATCCTTTCCTTGTTAGAACTAAAAGATAGTTTTCATTGCTTTTTTATTAAAATAAAATAATTTTTATAATTTTCATAATTCAACCTAAATATAGCTAAAGAGAGATTATTAAAAAAAATAGTCACATATTTATTTAAAATTTGAAGCTTCTCTGCATTGGTAAAAAAATAAACAAAATTTACAAAATATAAATATTTTTCTTTCTCTTTTTTTATCTTGCAGCTTTTACTTTTTTACTGTACCAAGTTCTTCTCAAAGTTTGCTAATCTTTTGATTGTCAACACCACAGAGCTGTCAATAGACGTCCTCGCTGCTAATCCCCCTATAAGTCTGCTAAAATTACGCCCAACTTTGGCAAACAAACGCCTTCTGCACGCGTAGGCAACGTGGCAAGCTCGGCTGCACAGCGTAATGCCTAGCTTGCGTTTGGCAGGCGTTAGCAAACCACTCCAACTATATAGTCGTCCCAGCAGATATTCGTTCGCGCCTCCTAGCGGCTCGCATCATCTTTGCAGTTCAAACAAGATTTGAGGAACTCCTCTTGGGCTCTCGCAGTTTCTATTAAGATAACGCTTCATCCATCATTCTAATTGCCTCTTCTCTGCGTCGACAGATAACTCGAGTAGACTTTGAAGTGCAGAAACGTGTTGGGGTGAGCAAACGTGATATCGATACCATCTAAAGTGGAAATTTTTAAAGAAACGGTTAAGTAAAGACTGAAGAAAAAATTACACTTTTTGAAATCAAAATTTTTTTCTTATAATAATATATTTATGAAAAATACTTCTGACTTTCTTTAAATTGAAAAATAATTACAAATATAAAAAATCGAAATAAATATTTGAAAAACTAAAAATTATTTCCAAACCTATTTAAAATCTCATTTCATCTATAGGCTGTTTCTATTTTAAAAAAGCACTCTTGTCAAAACAAATTAAATAATTAAATATAAAAAAAATCAATTCAAAGAATTTCTATTTTGCCACCGAGTATATTATTTTTAATTAATTCAAATTAACAAATTAACAATCGTAGAAAATTTCTTACTTTGACAAGAGAGAATTTTCATTTTTTCTAATTAATTTATACTTCTCACATTTCCAAACCAATTTTCCACCGCGATGCAAACGTTGATCAATTCAGCTCTCTAATTACCCCTACATCTAATTGGACCACGAAGCACACTTGTGTCAGCAGCATCGCTCGTTATTGGAGCCAGCAAGGAAATAATCACAGTATTATTAACGACCTGCTCGGTGGTGCGGGCGATTTCAGGGAAATGGCGGAAATTAATCAAAAGGAGTTAGCTTGAATATAGTATTATCCTTTATTGGTGATTCAGCACATACAAGGTACATTGTCTGGTGCTGGAGCGTGGGTTGCTCTTTTGATTTGATTAAAAAGCGGGCTCAGTCCGGGTCTAATTGGGAGACGTGGCTGGGGAAATCTCCAATTAGACGCGGTCTGAGCCACCCGCGCGCCGCCCAGTCTTTTGGATTACATAAATTCACGATAATATATGCTGGCTAGTCTACATTTGTGAATATATTTGATGCATTTGACACCCATGACGTTATTTTTCTCAATTTTTAACTTTAAACTCCCCGATTACATTTCTGTTTTCGTAAATGACGTTTAGCTTTAATCCTTGATATAATTTTTAAGTTATTGTGTCTTCGTACAGTCTGCTGTTTATCAGAAACGAACAAACAGAATTTAGATTTGTATAATTTTGGAAGAATTGACCGTTTTAGCGGAGAACGTGCAAGTGGCGCCGACAGCGGCTCGATTTAGAAACTTTCAACAACCTTACCAAAGTCCGGAAAGTCCTTTGCACAGTTCTGTTCCGGACGCGGGAAAAAAAGCAAATTTATTTCAAGCGAACGAAATCGGAAACATTATTTTTTTAGCACTCCAATAAACGATATATCCAAAATACGCAGCAGCAATTTGGCGGGTACAGCTTGCTTGTATTTTGACACTGATGAAGAACGAGAGGAGAGGAGGAGGAGGAAGAAGAAGTTACAGAACATCAAACCACCGACAAATAATTCGCGTGTCTACTTCTAGTTGTAACCGGAGGAGGCCTTGGCAGAGTGGTCTGTTCCGTCTGCGAGGGCCTGCTCCGGCGCCTCCGTGTCGCTCCTTTACTTGCCCCACTTCTGGAAGAGGCCGGCGCGCTGACACCTGCAGTTGGCGCCCCACAGGTTGCACCGGCAAGAGCTGTTGTAGCAGCAGTCGTTAGGCCTGTGGTCGCAGCTGCCGCCCTTGCGGACGCATGACCGCCTGAAAAGACGAATTAGAGAAGAACGTCTGACAAGAAATTAGAATTTACTTGCAGCCAACATCAAGTGGACACAACATTCATTTATTTACAAGCAAGCATTTTATTCAAACTGGACTAATTCTGCGAAATATTACTTTGTTTTAGAGGGTTCAGATGTGTTTTTTTTTCTTTTTCTCAAATTAAAAAGTATGGAATCTTAAGATTTTGATCAAATTTCAGAAGTCAATAGTATCAAAGTAAGTTTCTGGTGTTGTTGAGAATTAAAATAATTATTTTATTTTCAGCTACTTTTTTACCAATTTTAGCAATTTCAAAATTTTCTCTAGAAAAAACTAAGTTGCATCTAAATTTTTTTACATTTTTGTAATTAAAAAAATATTTGACCAATTCATACAAATTTTGTGTAAATTTAATATTTGTTTCTTTGTTAAAAGATTGTCTCAATTGCAAACTTATATATATTTAAATTAAAAATCCATTATTGCTCTAAAATAATTCTTATATTTATCCGCCTCTTAGGAAACGCACAAAAATAAATTCAAGGTACATAAACTTTAATAGTCAAAGTGTCTTAACAAGTCCAATTATTACGCCACATCATTGAAGCTTTAAGCCCTTCGGTTACAATTAAGCCGCTTTGAAACCCGCACGGCCGTAAGCGCTCAAAGTAGTCCAGCTTGAAATTTTGTTCAGTTCATGCACTAATTGGCAATTGCCGGTCAGCGATCATGAGTGCTGGTGATTTTTCGCAAGTGCTTCCAGCTCGCTAATGGGCATAAAATAATCTGCCCGGAGGCCGGTGTGTAATAATTGCTATGAAGTCGACCAATCATATTTCGCAGAACCGATTTAATGAATATCGTGGTGCGCACTGACAGTTTTATGAAGCGTCAAATTACGCGAAGTGAGCGCCTCTAACGAAGCCCAAGGTGCGCTCTCCAATCTACTAGAGTTGATCTCGCTCGCAATCTGCTCATATTTACTTTGCTTTAATGAAAAATTGGAAGGCATTCAAGCTACGAGTGTTTAGAAAAAAATTTCACTGATTGTGAATGTTTTATCATTATTTTTTTATAGCAGAGATCCAGAGACAATAGACAAATGAATTATCAGAAAATGCATTAATTTTTTATGATGATAATATAATTCCATCAAACACTGTAGTAGAATTGTTGGAACTATTTTTGAATATTAATTAACATATTGTCTGTTCAGTCGTAATTCATATTTAATATAAATAATTTTTTTAAACCTGAGCAATGACAAATTTAAACAAATTTATACATAACGTAAAAATTGATGTGAGTAAATAAATTTAATTAAAATTTAGGAAAAAAATAATTTTTAAAAACAAGTATTAAATAAAGATTAAAATTATTAACATATATGTCTGTAAAATTAATGTTTTGTAAATAAATTAACTTATTTTTTAACATTTACTGATTAACAACAAGTAAGTTAAAAATTTTATTTTAAACTCATAATAAAAGGCCCAATGATAAGTAAACAAAAAAAAAACTAATCATTGCAGTGTTAAAATAAAAGTATCATTTGGCCTCTACGAATCTACGAAATCTCCATCTCGAAAAAAAATTAATATTATCTCATAATTAAATCCAATTTTTTATTAAAAAACTTTTTTATTAAGCCCATGCTTAGCGCAAAGCTTACAAGGCGAGATTGGTTGGTGGGAGTTGAGATCAATGGCCCAGTGTTTTCTGCAGAATAAACGACGATTTACTACCCCGAAAACGCAAACTGACCCGGTTCATGAGGGTCCTCTAGCTGGAGAGTGACGCTGGCGACAACATCATTTTTGGAGGGTCAAAATTGATAGATTGACATAAACAACCTCATCTGCAGTAATAAGGACTCATTAATTTTATGATCAAGGCTTCGTGGAAAGAAAATTACTTCTCGGCTGGTTGATTTTATGAGAATATTCAAAGGATTATTATTTCAAAATAGGAATAGCTCAAAATCTTCTGTTTTGCCTTCTGAAGAATATTTTAATCATTGTGAGCTTTTGTGCCTTCACGGAAAATTACTTAATTTAACTCAATAAAGAAAGGGATAATTAGCCCTCCTGATGGTCAGCTCAGCAGGGCCATCATTTCAATTAGGCCGCCTTTCTTTTCCCTTAATTGAAAAATACGCTCTTCTCAACTTCGGTTGCTCCCCGAAGTTTGGAAGATTTTCAGCCTTAAATTATTTTTATAAAGGCCTATTGGAATGGATTATATTTTTGAATCGATTATCCACCTCATCGATCGTTACATTACAAGCAGGTTGCGTAGGCGTCAGTTAATGAAAAGGACGTGAGTGGGTGATATTAATGAGAGGCTTTTATGAGGCTTTCAACATTAATCACGCAGTTATAAAACAATAAGTGTGGCAAGTGTGCGTTCCATAAATAATAACACTTGGCTCACTTTTTCCGAGTCCATAAACAATCTGCTATTTTCAGCATCATACTTTTGTAACTGCAAGTTAAAATGACGCTCCCAGCACATGTAAATCATGTAACTGATAAAAGTAGAGTACAATTATTTTTTCTACAAAAGAATGACGGTTGTCATACGAAGTGAAAAATTACTTCCGTTTAGGGAAATTTAATAAAAAAGTCTGTCAATTTTTATTTTATCGTAAAATTTGTATCAAAGAAACTTTACGCATTTCTTAATGCAATTTCTTAATCAATGAATAATTATGCTTTTCATTCTTCTAGTGGTTCCACATTCAATCTCTAAAACCAAAAACTCATCAGATTTTTTTGCAAATCGTAAAAGTGGATAAAATATTTAGATGATTTTCTTATTTTCAACACTGCTGGGTTTTATTATCCAAACCTTTTTGGGCCATAATTTTTTCAAGAAGGAGCAGATTTATTTCATAAGTCTAAGCTGGCGAAATTTTATTTTACTATCTGCAAAAATGTGTCAGCTATTTTTCCAATTTCTTTCTTTTCTCGCTGAATAAGAGAAACGGCGCGAGGCGACAGCCCGAGCTTGCAAAATGCGTGTTGCATGTGCTGCGAAATTCCTTCCGATCTCCTTCCGCCTACACTGGCAATAAATCTAAAAAGAGCTAGGAAAGGGATTAAGGCTAAGGTCCTTGCGGGTGCAGAGAGAGTGCGTCTGTGCCGGGCTCAAGTTCGCAAGCTGTTGTGCGCGACACCAAAGCTGTGCCATAGAGCGGCGTGTTTATTGGGTCCAAGTAATCCACTTTTGACAGCGAAAATATTTGCTGGCGTGGGAGAAAAAAGAGGAATTTACACGACGCATTCTTGCACGGAAAAATCCCTTTGTGGCGATTTTTGCGTTCTTTATTTGGCCTCCGGTGGAAAAAAGCACTCGCGAATAATCGTTGACAATATAACCATGCTGATGGTAAGTAGACTGGTGAAAAAGAGAATAAAAATAAAAGCAATTTTTTTTTTATTTTTTACTATTTATATATATTAAGTACAATATTACACTGCCCCGCACATCTTGATATTATAATCAAGTAATTCATTATATTTATTTTCATGCCGATACAAAATTGGTTAAATCTTTTAATTATTGATATTCTCTGGTGACTTTTTCAGGACTTTTTAATTAATTATTTTAATTCAGTTGTTGGTTATTGACTCTATTGAAATTATTAACTTTTTCGCCAGTCTAATGGTGAATAAAAAAAAGTGACATTGCTTAAAAGCTAGTGTTTACACGATGACAAACAACAATTACTAGCTACTCACTTTTGAGAGTTCTGGAAGAGTCGTTCCAAGTTGTTATCGCTGTAGTCGTCTAAAGTGCTCTCTGAAACAAGCCGATGGAAATCGATTAGAAATGCGCGTTCAAGCATCTCAAAACTATGTCACGTTCCATCCACGGAAAATATGAATTCCGAAAGATGCATTGTGATATTCAATTGTAGTGGAAAATATCAAAATCTCTTTTCTTATATACTCGAATAGGAGGGGGGAAAGCCTTTTTTATTAAGTTTTCCAGGCCATAAAAGACGCCAGACTATCAAAGGTGAATTACCTGTGGCGAAAACCCATTTCGTAATAACATACCTTTTTAATAAAAAGCACCGCCGGGAACGAAAAGGGTCATTTCGTATCAGACGAAACCTTGGCGTGGAATAAAGAGAATAGAAGAAATAAAAGCACATGGGCTCCTTTTTTCCTCAGAAAAAACAGTCACGGCCAGAGTGCATCTATAAACTAATTTCTAATTTTCGCTCCCTCTTTCCAACTGCGCTGGCAAATATTTGGCCGCGGCTTCTTTTTTAATTAAAAACCCACGAGAGTGCTCTTCGAGGCGAAAAACTACTTCGCCTTAAAATAACACAGGCCCGCCGCAAATTAAAATTCCCAGCTCTCTTCTCTGCGTGAAAATTGACCAATTTCCAATTTCAAAGCACATGTTTATTTCGGAAAATGTTGTGAAATCATAATTAGTCTCTGCACCACACGTCATTTTAATGCAAAAAATTCATAATAATTTTAACCATCATATTATGCAAAATTACACATTAATTGAATTTTGTAAAATTTTGCATCGCTTTCAGATTTCATGACAATGATTCGACTAAAATTTATTTTACATTTAACTCACAGAAGTTCAAAAATGTAATTTTGAAATCTGGAATTTTTTCATTAAAAATTTCTGGAATCTGTTTACTATAAGAATACTTTCCAAAATAATTTATTATATAACAATCATGAATAAAAGATGAAGGTTTTCTGTGTAACAAAATTCATTTTGTGACAAAATCTTCGAGACGATCCTTCTATTTGTATTCATCGATGTGCGAAAGGACCAAAATTTTAGATGTGCACTCGGTTCTACGGAGGCAAAAAAAACACACACAGAGACGATCCGACATATTCTGTCTGGCGCCAGGCGAAAGTGCTGTGTCAATTTCATATAAAAACATCGTCCAGCTCGCACGAATCGATTTCAGTACACAGCATATCGCATGCTCGCTTTTACGGCAGTCGCATGCCATGCTTAATTTTTTTATACATCGGAAGAAATTCGTGCTCTTTGAGTGGATAAAAAATTAGGTTTTATTCTGAGTGCTGTAATTTACCTCCACATTTTCCAGTGGCTTTGAAAAATGAATAAAAAAGTACATCCAAACAAAATAAAAAGCGTTTTTGATTTGTTTGCGTATGAATATGTTCAGCATTTGCAATTGTGAGTGTTGGCGAAATGCTCGAGCAAATGATTGTATGGGAAGGCTGACGAACGTGAGGCAAAATGAAATTCCTTCCGCTCCAGCAAATGAGAGCAACGCGTCGTTTCTCCTCGGCATAAAGGCGTGAGGCCTGGATGCGCGTGTCGCTCTCGAGTTTTTCCGGCTCTTCCACCAGCACCTGCCACTCATCACAGACAGCGATGAAAGTTTAAAAAGCCGGAAAATTTTCAACGGGTTCGCACGCGCGTGCTTACGAACAGAATGAGTAATTAAAACGCATTCATGCGTAGTAGATGAATGATTGATTAAAAATACATTTATTGTTCCGAGAGTTGGAGATGAAAATCGATCATTTCCATTCACAGTCAGAGCCTCTTTTCATTCAAACCTTCAATTTAACTTCAACGTTTTTACATTTGTTATCTGATTGTAAAATTTGAATAAACCAACCTAACCATCTAAAAATCAAGACTTTTTCAATAACAACAAACTTAAAAAATGGCAAATTATTTGTTAAATTTATAAACAATATTATACAATTTATTTATTTTATTAATATAAATTTTTTAAGTTTTGAAATAAAACAAGAAGTTAAATTTTTTTTAAAAATAAAACTGTTAGTTGTTAAATTAAGTATCATAAGAGCCGTAACTTTAGCGATGCAGTCATTCATGTTCAAATAATGAACATGAAAAATAGAACTAATAATCAATTCATGGATAATACTTGAAAAAATTTATTGTAACATAGAAGTAGTCTTCGTCACCATATAGTACCTATTAATCAATAATTTTAATTCACAAGTCTTGCCAGTTGAAAAATATGGTCATAAAAAGAGACACTTTAAGCTTTTTTTTAGAAACTACGATATTTTTTTTTCTTTTTCATAAAAATCAAAATAATTACCGTTCTTATTTGTTTCCTTTTTTATAATAAATCATTTCTGGAGTTTTTATTTATTTTTCCCTTTATTTGAAAATTATATCAAGCTCTTATAGCTCAAATTTTGACTGCATTATCCATCTCAATCCACCCTCTAACTGGCTCAAATTCGTGAGCAAACAGACGTGTGCTTTTGACAAGAAGGCGCACAAACAGCCGCTGCTTTCCCTTTCACGTCGGCAATTCAGGCTGAATGGAGGCGTAATGACATTTCCGTGCAAAGCAATTCTGACTTCTGCGAGATGTGAGAGAGAGAGTCACTCCGGCCGAATACGACGGTTAATTATTAGCGCCCTTTAATTATAATTATACACAGATGCGGAGAAATTGGACTGCATAATGTTGACGTTCTAAGGAGTAATAATAATTAAAGTCAAATTGATTCGTCATGCATGTTAATTGGACATTATTTAGTTGCTTCTCCTTACTTTTATGTAACAAAATAACAGAATTGAGTTAAAAATTTAAATTACATGTCAAAAGCTGAAAAACTTGCGCAAGGTCCTTCTTTGCTTTTTCATCTCGTCATGGAACGCAATTTCAGGCCGACCAATTAAGAGCACGCAAGGGTTTCCCGCCAGCGTTGGGAACAATTTGTGACTTTGTCCGACAAGACCCCTGGAGAGAACCGCAGCTGCGCCTTTCACCCTCCATCTCGCTCGAGCCCAAAACATCAGCAATTATTATCAAATTTCAACCCTGCGCTGCAACAAGTCTAGGCCTCTGAATTTGCGGGTCTGCTGTGTAATAAAATAAAACCGTCGGTCTGATAAATGTCACGCGCGCCTCGCAAAACGCACCCTTGACCATGTACCACGTTTGTCCTGTGTAATCAAGCGTACGTGTGTTTTATTTGTAGAAAAGCAACACAAGCAAGTTCAACGCGACTGTATATAATTAGTGCACTATTAGCTTACTAAAAGCAAATTCAATCTCATTTCCCTGTTTTTATAATTTTTTTCTTCGAGTAGTCTTTTTTGACGCTGTTTCATTGTTCATTCATCAAATAATTTCTAAATTAAATTAATGTGTTCAAAATAACTTCACATTTAATGGAAAAAACTTATATTAGTTTACAAAGTACCAATATGTATTTAAAGTACAATGACCAAACCATAGGCTTTATTATACATTCAAATTTTTTTTTTTTTTTTACAAATTTATCAGTAAAATGTAAACTAATTTTAATGAAAATTTATATTTTTTTTATTTAATTTAATGTAAATATGAAAAAATTGATTAAATAAATAATTAAAAAAAATGTTAATAAGTTTTAATTAAAATGTTAATTATAAATATATGTATTAAAATTGTGTTTAAAAACCGGAAAATTGTGTTCCTCTTCGTTTAATTCCCCAACCGTAATTGTTTTACGCGCCTTACATTCCTTGGAAGGGGGTAAAGAGTCAAGTGACGAAAACACAGTTTGTGCCTACGGCAACCTTGTGACCTCGAAAAAAGTGCGAATTGCTTTTTCTTTGTCAAACACGCTGCGCGAAAATGTCGAAAATTGAATCGGGACCTCGGTTGGCAGATGTAAAATGGGATTCAGATGTGAATGTAATTCGATTTGCACATCTTATGGCACCCACAATCTTCTTTTGTATGAAATTATAAAAGAGTTTTCAGAGAGTTTGATGAATTTGCTCCGAGTCGTTCTTGTCACTTCATTTCTCACGAGGAAACTTTATCTTGTATGAAATCATCTAAGGAAACATAAAAGTTATCACGGTGCTGGAAATTTTAATTAAATTTGAAAGTCGAAGATGTTTTTGCTGAGAAGAACTATTGCTGCTGACAAGCTACTTTACCGTGCCAAGTTACTCTTCCTCCTTGCACGTTACATTTCTGTTTTAAATTACACCGATCATATTTCATCTCCGTTTTGCAAATTAGATTTTCAACTGAACTTTCTCTTTTCAAAACCAAAGTTAGTGTTCACCTCTTGAATTACACCACGTTGCGATTTTATTTCTATTCGGCGAGGGAGAGCCGCGAATATAAATTGCGTTAATTCCACGAAACGACAGGATTACGCTTTTTGTTCTACGCATTTTCTGTTTGAAGCGAAAAGAGTTTTTTTTAACAGGGGGAGAGCAGCAAAAACAATTCCCCCGCTGATGCGTCCTTTGACTGTGAAACTTTGGTCCAGTGCTTTTGAAAAGTGACACATGAATGTTTAAATCAAATGGAAATGCGTGCCCTCTTTGATTGTGGCACCACTCTTTGCGATTTTTTCCGCGCTGGAAAAAGTAAACTGCAAATAAAGTTGTCAATTTCAGTCTGCGGATTAATTCGAAGCTGATTATTATTTCAAATGAGGGGAAGTTGGCGAACTCATTGCAAACTTTGGAATCTGAATGAGAACACGGCAGAGTTGCGTAATCGCATTAACGGGGCTGCTACCGGCCGTTGCATAATTCAAACGAGCAATATGTTCTGAAACAACCCTTGTATTGCGTATCACGTTTGGAAGTGAATGACATTTTGCATGTGTAGAAAAGCGGCTTCGTTGCTCGGTTATTAATTAATCAGCTTAAGTTACATGAACAGTGGCAAACAAAAGTGTCTCTTATCGCTGTAATTAAATCTCGCGAATTTGCGTCACATCTTGGAGCAGATGACGTCAGAAGATCGTCAACAAAGTAATTAACCTGGCCATATTTTA